AGTTACATAATATCTATTAGCATGCTTTCTACAAAGGCCAGGTTTAGAGCTAGTCGGTTTACTACAAACTTTGCAAGGAAAATACTTTCTAGCCTTTCAATGTTCATGGCATCCTTCAGGCCGACAACAAGTATGTCCACAAATAACTCCAGTTCTGAGTAAATAATCACAAGTATATTCACTTATCATGGTATATAAATATGAATAATTTTAATTTAAACAAAAGATCTGGTATATTAATACAAACAACAGAATACCAGCACGCATATACGTATATGTTATTGTCCATGTAAGTAGGCAATAACTAAAAATCATACCCAGATCTGATGATCGGATAATAACGGAATGGCCACTGGCTGCGAAGCAGCCAGTGTGCTATTTCATTATTATTCGATCGTCAGATCCAGGTTCGATTTTTAGTTATGTCTACTTCATGAATAATAACTGATTTATTCCCAGGTTCTTATTATACTTCTATACTATCTTTTAAATTAAAGTTGCGCATTTTATAAAGTTTAGCTTTACTACAATCATAAAACTTCTTTCGTTTCCTTTCACTTCTTTTTATTTAACCAACAAACTTTTATTTTTCATTAGTAACTTTAATATTAATAGTTTAAAAATTCGTATATCATTAAAAAAGTAAAAAAAGATTTATAATCAAAAAGAAATATAAAAACTCCGGATCAGCCCAAATTTGAAATCTGGGCAATAAACGTAAAAAGATAGTATAGAAGTATAAATAAGAACCGGGAATAAAAAATGATACCTCCATGTCCTAGGTGTGGAAAAAATGATTTCAAAAAGACTCGAGATCGAGATGCACACTTAAATCGTAAATTTCCATGCAAACCTAGTAATATCCAAAATCTTATTGTAGCTCCAGGATGCAAAGCATCTCCTATTTGCAGACACCATTACAACAAAATTTAGCTACAGATCAAATTTTGATACAAACCCATGTTTTAATAGGTGATTTAATCCAATTAGATAATATACCATCATTACCTATTCAAAGCTCAGACAATATTTCTTTGAATTTACCTCAAAATGATACAGAATGGTTTGATAATATGGAAGATAAATATAATATAAATACTGATGAAAAATGGCCTGAATTA